TCTGTGGGCGTGTGTTCACAAACCTGCCCCTCTAAAGTATGGTGGCTCCAAATCTACAAAAATCCCCGCCCGAAAGGGGGGGGGGGGGGAATTTGGGGAGTTGAAGTCCACTCATCTTAAAGTGGCCAAGTTTTGACAACACTGGACAAGAGGCTTCCCCCAAGTTACTGAATGCAGAATAGAAGTAACTGGACTTTTCTCAAAGTAGACGTATAGGCTGTGTTCACAGGAACCCTCATCCATGGTTAAAAGAACCAACTTTACCCACTTAACTAAATTACCGCGGTTCGCACATCACATGGAACTAATAACTGGCCGGTTCGCATAACGGGACACATTAAAATGCGTTTGCCAGTCTTTGGATCAGTGTCCCGTGTCAACGTAGCCATGCACAGCGAAGGAAAAGTAGTTTTTAAAGGACGAACCGAAGCCGAGCCGATTTCTAGCAAGTAAGCGTATTCTCCCCCTCCAAGCCCCGCCCATGACCTAGCTTTTCATGTGCAATGAAGCCCAGAAGCCACAAATGCAAACCCAGTCCCATTTTCCCTTCGTCGTCTTTCTTCTCCGTGCCCTACCTTACTCCATTACCTGAAGAGTCATCCTGCTTGCTGCACCGAACACCTGCACTCCCGCGAACAAACAGCTAACCCGGCACTAACGCCCGCGCCTTCCCCGCAGCCCTTTTTATGAGGCCGGGTCGGCCAATGTTCTCACCGGAGCGGGGCTTTGTGACGTCACTCCAAGGGCTGTACCCAGTGCGCCAAAGCGAGCTCGAGGTGGGACGGATTTCGAGTGCAGCGGGGCAGGGAAGTGCGAGACGGACAGCGGAGCCAGAGGAGGAGCGGCGGAACCTCGCCCTCGGTCGGGCGGCATTGTTTTGCAACCGCGAGAATTTCGAAGCTAGCAAGAGAAGGTCAGATAGCAGCGCGTTGGGGCTGCCGCAAGATGTTAAGCGCAGCCTGCGTGCAGTGTTCAGCGACGCTTTATTGTAGGATTTATTCACCAGGACTCGGCTTTTGGGCTGCCCTTTGTTGTGGAGGACAGTCGCCAGCATTGAGGTAAGATTTGGTTGTCAGACCAATTCGCTTCGTGTACTTCATGGCACCGAAGGGACGGATATCTAGCAAAATGGTTAGGACTAAACCTGTCGACGCGGTCACAGGACCCCCTTCGGTCACAAATTAGCCCACTAAGTTGTGTGAATTCAGCTGATGTGGTTAGTTGGGGGTTCATTGCTTTATGCAACTTCCTCCGCAAATTAGTAAACCAGAAGAGTATGGAGTCTACGTGCAGCCATGAAAACGGGGTAGTACGGGGGGAAAGGGGGTGTCCCGCCCACCCTCGGCTTTTGTCACTTCAACAGCCGAAAAAGTGCGGCCTGAACAAAAAATGGTTTCCCCGCCTTTTTTTCTAACTCAGAAGAAAAACAAAGTAGAATAGATTAGAATAAAGTACAAGGGCATTTCACGCCTCCCTTTTTCCAGTTTTTCTTTTCAGCTACTTTATTAATCTGAAAGGAATTAATATTAATTTGAAAAGAGGACAACTTTGAAATGTACCCATTCTTTGCCAAAAGAGCATGAGAAAAATTCATTTACTTTCATTACCATATTTTTAGTGTAAGGCAACATTTATTTTAAAAGTAAATTATTTGGAGAAAATGTAGCATTTCTTTCAGGTAAATACAGTTACAGTCAGTATTCTATTGATCAATCTTTACTGGGCTGTTTTATTGGGATGGCCATTTCCTGAAAAGTTATTTTATGCTTCAGAGATAACAAGCACATCTCTTGTTTCTCAGCAGCCCTGTCTACAGTTCACTATTAAATATATAAACTAATTGAGCTAAAGTGAAGCACTGCAGTTTCTGATGCAATCCTGTTGATTTCAATTGTAGAAAATCAACTTTGAAGAGGAATTTGTGTGCATGTGGCATGGTTCCCTTTCTGATTGACTTTGTTTCTTGTAAAATTTAAATATTTAAGCAATGTACAATAAAATAGTACACCAATAATTATTTGCTTGTTTCTTTTGCTTAGCAAATTTTAGGATAATTCTTAATGCATCCGAATCCAGTTCTCTATTTGATAAGACCAAATTTGCATATCTCATCTCATTCCCAATACTGTTAAGGGCTTTTCCACACTGCAGCCTTAAACTGTCTCCTATGAATAAACTGGAAGTGAAGCTGGATTAAGAACTCTTTTTGTGGTTTTCAACTCATTTCTGCTTTGGCCATGGTGATGGCCTGATGTTCACCACAGCCCCTGACTGGTAGATTCCTCTGTTTCTTTACCCTTCCCTATTAAAAGAAAGGGAGAGAAGAAAAATGCAGTTTGTCCTGTCACTTTGGTTAGAAGTGACAGAACTCTTCTCAGTTTCACCTGGTGAAAAGAAAAAGATAAAAAGATCTATCCTTTCACTGTTAAGATTTTTTTTTTTAAGCCCAGCTTTTTGGTGTCCAGTGTTGGAGGGAAGGGGTCATTCCTGCCACAATCGAAATGACAGTAGCCCTTGGAATGAAGTTGCCTGCAGTGAAGTGAAACATAGCAGGTGACAAGACAGCACTGCTTACGCTAGTACAAGTCAGAAAACACTACAGGCAGTCCTCATTTAGTGACTGCCTTGTTTAGTGACTGTTTGCAGTTAAGATGGTGATGAGAAAGTAACTTTGTGATCAATCCTTGCGTTTATGACCTTTGCAAGCCTGTAAAGTGAAGGAAAGCTAAAGTCAGATCATAAGCACAATTGCAGTTTCACTTAGCAACTGCTTCACAATGAACAAGTCGCTAAATGAGGATATTTGTACTTTTGATGAAAGCAGAAAAAACAGGGAGAGGTTGTTTCCTGGTGGGTTAAGAACAGGTGGAGGTGCTTCATAGAGCTTCAGTTGTGTCTGGAATGTGCTTAGGAAAATGGGAATCCCAGGACATCTCATTGTCCTCATGTGAAACTTATATACAGTATAGGAAAACACAGCCTGGATGGAAAACAGATCAACCCCAGGTCAGTAAAGCAGTGTGACAAGGCTGAATACTCCCCCAATATTTATTCAACCTATATGACAAATACATATTGGAAGAAGATGAGTGTAATTTTAAAACTGGAAAAAGAAACATTAATAACTTATATTGTGCTGATGAAAATGCAAATGATCTGCAGGCTCTAGTAATGAAAATCAAGGATTAATGAAAGCAATGGGACTAAGATTAAATAAAAAGAAGATAGTACCATAAAATAGAAAGTACAATAAAATAGAAAGAAGATAGTACTATAAACTAAAGATAGCAGACACAGTAGCCAGCTTTAGAACTGACAGTGAAGATACTGAAGGGGTGGATAGCGTCTGCCTTTTAGGGTTGACATCAATATTAAAGGAACCAGTAGTCAAGAAAAAGACTGGTACTGTAGCAATGAAAAGCTTGGAAAAAATGCTCAGATGTTGGAATATGTCTGTACCTACAAAGATCAGAATCATGCAGGCAATAGTTTTCTCTGTGATACTATATGGACACAAATATTGGACTTTGAAGAAGCAAGATACAGGTAGTCCTTGACTTATGACCATTCGTTCAGCGACCGTTTGAAGTTACAGTGGTGCTGAACAAAGGGACTTATGATCGGTCCCCAAGGTTATGGCCTTTGCAGTGCCCCCGCAGTCACGTGATTGCGATTTGGGTGCTTGGCAACCCATTTGCACTTAAACCAGTTGCCAAGCACCCGATGATCATGTAATTGCCATTTGTACCCTTCTCTGTTAGCTTCCCCAGAAAGTCAGTGGGGAAGCTGTCAGGGAAGGTTGCAAGTCTCCTCCATCCGCGCACCCTCCTCAGCCCCTCTGCACTCACGCTGGCCACTTGCACACCCAACCCTCACAGCAGCCCCACATGGCACCTCTCATGCACCTGTGTGCCCTCCCTGACCTGCGCTGCACCTCTCACGCACCCACTCACACTGTTCCTGACCTGTGCTGCACCCTCGCGCACCCTTCCATATCTGTGCAGTGCCTCTTCTGCACCCCCTCACACCCTCGCGCACCCTCCCCATGCACCCCCTCACTCCCTCCTCTACCTGGCAGCAGCCACTTACCTGCCTGCTGGCCTGGGACTTGAACTTTCAGCTGGTTTCCCCGCTGACTTTGGTTGTGGGAATCCACCGGGAAGTTGCCTTGCCTAACAACCAGGGGATTCAACTAATGATGGCAACTGGGACTGCAGGGATTGCTATTGCTATGCGATGCAGCCACGCATTATGACTGCATCACTTAGCAACAGAAATTCCAGTCCCAATTGTCATTGTAAGTTGAGGACTACCTGTAGAGTATTGATGCTTTTGAAGTTTGGTGTTGGAAAAGACTCCTGAAAATACCATGGATAATCAAGAAAATAAACAAATGGCTCATGGGACCAATCTATCCAGAGATTCTCATTCAAGGTACAAATGGCCAGGTGCAAATTATCATATTTTGGACACATTTTGAGAAGATGCCGCTCTCTTGAGAAGTCTATAATGCTGAGAAAGGTGGAAGGAAAGAGAAAAGAGGATGATCAGTAGCAAGGTGTTAGGATGCTGAAGAGCTAGGTTTAGGACAAAGCATCCCGAGGAAGATCTGTCTATTTGGTTGCTAAGAGTCAACACCAACTTGATGACACATAATAAAAAAAGAGCCAGCCGAGGCCAAGCTTAACGAACTAACCAGTCGTGCAAGGCTAGAAGGCCTTGGCAGAGTAAGACACACCATTTCCCACAGAATCACCTTCTGCTATTTGCTTCTTGCAAAATTCCATATTGGGGAAAACAGCTTGGAATGCCAACTTCCTAATCAGCCACATTTATCAAACATTTTCATTACCAAAACCTGAAGGATATTGGTGCTTTAAGACCCAAATCATTTTCTGCTATCCGTTGCCCCACCCCCAAAATACCTATTTTGGAACACTGCATAGAATGCTGATTTCCCATCCAGCCTAATCACTTGCTGGTCATAAAGGACCAGATGCAAAATTGCAAGATTGATGCCGCCTTCCAACCCAGCCAATCTAGCCAAATTCACAATCACGCAGGACTAAAGAGGAATGATGGAATAAGACCCAAAACATTTCACACAGTTCAAATGTCAACCAAGTGATGTATGGATTTTTACTCAGAATTGAACGTGGAACATGTTCTCTGTGGAGGTTTGGGATCATCCTGAATTAATCCTGCGGATCTTAACTGCATCTTCATCTTAACTGCATCACCAGTTCTGACTGATGAATTTCACCATTTGGACTGGCAGGGAGGAAGCTAATGTTTCGGGTTGTTCTACGGCTCCGGATGATTTGGGAGTGTTGAGGGATGATCGAACCTTACGGGGATAATCTTACCAGCTATAATTCCCGATGGTTCTTATTTATCGCTTTCACTTCGCACTGTGTCGAGCATCATTTTTTTTTAAAAGAGCCCGTTCCAGGAACTCCGTTCCGGCTTTTGCACCTCCGTTGGTCGTTCAGGCGGTTCTGCGTATGCGGCCATCGGGGGCGCTCGAGAGAGGCCTCCGTCCGGAAAGGTGGGGCTGCTCGCGGCGGACCTGGAGGCGATTGGTGCCGGCGGCTGCGCGGCCTTCCTTCTCTCCCCCCCGGGCCCCCCCCCCCCGCGGGGGGG